CGGAACGTCCCAACCGCTCCTTTTTTCTTTTTTTTTTATTCTGGGCCAGCTTTAGCTTTGAGGCTTAGCCTCAGCCCCCTGGCCTCCGGGCCTGAAAGTAGGTTTCTGGCCTTTGCTTACAATGTTGCAAATCTGCTGGCTGACGTCCAGTGGTATTTGTTAAAATGTTTCAAATTGCAGGCTCAGAGGCCTGCAGGAGCAGGCGGGGAACATTGGAGGCCTCCGTCACTGAAGCAAGCAAGCCTCATGTTAGTTTCAAGCTGCCTGGCTGCCGGCCGCCATCTTGGCTGATAGTTAATTTGCATATCTCACTGATTAGCCAATGAAAAGAGTAGCGGTCCTACGCCAATTACCATGTTTCTCTTTTATTAGTGTAGATATCTATGATGTCATAAAACACAATACCTGATAGCACATACAGATACCTAATGTTGCTGAATTGAACTTAGCTAAACTTACTATTTAGTTTTTCTTTATCATCTAATTTAAAAATATCTCCAAGTAGTTTCAAAAACTGTAACTCTTTTAAGATAAATTGTAAACATATGCTATCTATAAGGTTAGAATGTCTTCTCCTGGAACATGCAGACAGTCAGAAGGAGAAAAATATATAAATACAAAAAGTAGTTATAATTTCAATCTAATGTAATTAAAAAATAACTCTAAAGGAAAAAAATAGCCCTTTTAAAAATGAAACTATGGAAACAACTAAAGTGTCCTGCGATAGAGGACTGGATAAAGAAAATGTGGTACATATATACATTGGAGTACTACTCAATCTTAAGAAAAGACGAAATACTGCCATTTGCAACTACATGAATGGACCTTGAAAATATTAGGCTAAGCCAGTGGTCGGCAAACAGTGGCTCGTAAGCCACATGTGTCTCTTTGGCCCCTTGAGTGTGGCTCTTCCACAAAATACCACGTGCGGGCGTGCACATACAGTGCGATTGAAACTTTGTGGCCCATGCGCAGAAGTCGGTATTTTGTAGAAGAGCCACACTCAAGGGGCCAAAGAGCTGCATGTGGCTCGTGAGCCACAGTTTGCCAAGCCACAGTTTGCCAACCACTGGCTAAGCAAAATAAGTCAGTCAGAAAAGGTTAAGTACCATATGATTTCACTCATATGTGGGATATGAAACTGAAACTCATAGACGGACAATAGAATGGTGGTTACCAGAGCGAAGGGGGGTAAGAGGGTAGGTACGAAAGAGAAAAGGAGACCAAATATATGGTGATGGAAGATGATTTGACTTTGGGTGGTGGGCACACAATGGAATATACAGATCATGTGTCACAGAAATCAACACTTAAAAACTATATAATCTTATTAAGCAATAAATTTGGTTAATCTTGTTACCCCAATAAATTTAACTTTTTAAAAATGAAACTGTTACATTCAATGTCTGGAAACCATAATCTACAAATGGCAGCCCAGTGAACAATAATAATATAAAATTATGATTTATCAAAGTCTAATTCTGCACTTAAACTATAAATAGATGGCTTTTCCATGAAGAGTATAAAACAACAACCCACTATTCCTAAATTAAAAGAAAAAACTGCAACACATACAATGGAAAAATTAAACTAATTTAGTCATTCCATAACTGTTAAAGAAATCATATAAAAACTACATTCACGACAATAAGACTGACTATTCCTCTGGTTGAGGAATCCAATTGATTTGCTACCACGAAGCAAACCCCCATTTCCATTCAAAGGTACATTTTATAATTACCTTTAAAAACTGAGTCATTTTCATAGTCAGCAGAGTATAGCAATAACTAGAATGAATGTAAGACTATTTTTGACTGAGAATGTTTTTTTACTTAATATGGAAGTATTTTTCTGCTGTGAATACTTAACTTAAAATTCTATAAGTTCTACATGAATAAAATGTGTCTATATTTTCTTAAGGAACATATCTTAGTCTATACGATGGGCACTTTACAAGATAAGAGGTTGCAAATGGTTAATCAAATAAGACATGGCCATGGCCCAAGTGGGACTTACTCTCTAGCTGCCAAATCAAACTGCCAAAGAACCACAAGTAAAATATATAAGACTTAAACTTATAGTTAAACATTATTATAAAAAAGCAATATTGTAAGGGCTATTTATATACGAGAGTTAGTTTTATCAGTTAAAAGTTCCACAAGTCTGTGTACATTTCACCAGTGACTCCTTATTATACAACTTAAAGAGAAATGTTCATAATGAGAGATTCTACATAGTGCTCTTTGCTAGCAATTCCATAACTAAATTAACTATCTACAAAGGACTTCTTGCATTTTTACTCTATCACTCTGCTAATTCAGTATTTCTTCTAAATATAAACTGTTCAGTTATTTTTCATTAGCCTCAACATCCCTGATTTCTAAACAGAACAAGTTATACAATTATTTCATTGTGACCATTCAAACAAAAGTGAAATTATAAAATATTTTTGGTGCTAGAGTCCTTTTCAAGATTCATATTTAGAGTTCTGGGGAGCTATGGACATCATGGTGACTATAGTTAACAATACTGTATTATATACTTGAAAGAGAGTAGATCTTAGAAGTTTTCACCACACACAAAGTAACTATGTTAGGTGAGGGGTGTATTAATTAACCTTATTGTGCTAATCATTTTGTAAATATAGTGCCATGAAATCAGCATATTGTGAACCTTAAACTTACACAATACCATATGTCGATTATATCTCAATAAGGCTTTTTAAAAGCTCTAAATACTCCACAATGTTGACTAACACATTCCCCCTGTAGACTTTGATCTCCATGAGGTCAGGTCCCTAGCACAATGTCTGTCCCTAGCACAATGTCTGGCATATTTGGAGCTCAATGGATATTTGTAAAAGCTAGAGGAGGGGAAAGATTCACATTTTAAAAAATCATTTTCAAGATTCCCAAGATTAAACATCAACTAACAATTATATCCTTATTCAATAGGAGAATAACTAAAAATACATGCTGCAGCCGAAACCGGTTTGGCTCAGTGGCTAGAGCGTCGGCCTGCGGACTGAAGGGTCCCCGGTTCGATTCCGGTCAAGGGCATGTACCTGGGTTGCGGACACATCCCCAATGGGAGATGTGCAGGAGGCGGCTGATCGATGTTTCTCTCTCATCGATGTTTCTGGCTCTCTGTCTCTCTCCCTTCTTCTCTGTAGAGAATCAATAAAATATATTTTAAGAAAAAAATACATGCTGCAACTCATTGAAGCGATGATACATAAGTTAGGAGACTAATTACTACTTGAGACCCAAAACCTTATAGCAGCAGATGCAAAGCAGCTAAGTATGAAGCAAAAGCCACTTGTCTGTTTCTCTCTCTCTCTCTCTCTCTCTCTCTCTCTCTCTCTCTCTCCCTCTCTCTTTGTTTTTGATATTTGCTCTCCTTTATTTGTTAGTTAAAAAATCTCATTTTTTACTGGACTAAGATTTAGAGGAAGAAGCTCTCAGAGAAGACAGTCTATGTCTCTTCACAATCTGTTCCTGGAGTTTTTCTTTGGCCTCCTTCATTCTCTTAGCCAAAAGTTTAGCATATTCTGCCGTCTCTTGTTTTTCTTAGTACGTTGTTTCTTCAGAGCAATACACCTGTATTTGTGTTGCAGAACACGTGGAGTAACAAGACTCTGAATCTTAGGTGCTTTAATCCTAAGTTTCTTGAGGCTTTCTCAAAACATATTTGTGGACATCGTCTTCTTTAGAGAGACTGAAAAGTTTGCGGATTCTGCTGGCTCTTTTGGGCCCCAGGCGACGAGGCACAGTGAGACCAGGAATATCTTTCTCCCCTTTTTTTACAATGACCAAGTTGAGAACACTGAGATTGGCATCCACAATGCAACCCTGAACAGATTTGCGTCTTCTCTCTCCAGTTCTGCTTGGTCTGTAACAGGAGTGCCCCTTACTCAGCAGCAGGTAGACTCGGCCATGAGTCAAGACACCCTACTTCACGGGGAAATCTCGTTTGTCGTTCCCACCACTGATTTGAACTACATAACCCTTTCAATTCTTCACCCAGAGAATCAGCTGCAACTTCTGTGGCCATACGCTTCACATAAAAGGTACGAAGTTTGCGTTCATTGCCCACTTCAACGAGTTTCTGGCAGCCAGTGGCTGGGAAAGAGATGTTGGGCTTCATCCTGAAGCAGCCAACAGCCTCCGAGGCACCACAAAAAAGAAGAGCTCTGTTGCTCTTTTATTTACTGTTATATTTTTACCCTCTCCAGTTATTTTCCATGGCTGTGGCACAGCTGGTAAAATTAGATCAGGGACATTTAAAATCCTCAATTTCGTTTTCCTAATAAAAATTCAGAGCTATAACCTGCATGACCACAGATAAACACTACTGAAAATGCAGCCAGGAAGCTGTTTGATACATTTGATATGTATTAATATGTGCACTCGACATAGTTTATTTAGTATTATCTGATGG